GGCAAACTTGATTTTTAGAGAGGTACAATAATTTTTTCAAAAATATTATTTTTGAATTTAACTTAAATAAACTATAAATTAAGTTGTGTGACCAAATGAATGAATGACATATATCTCGTAAATATTAAGAACATGACAATAATTACTTTTTATAAAATTTTAAGAATCTGAATACACTTTTATCAGAAATAATTTTAAAAATACATATTTATTTATAAAATTTCGACTTCAAATTCATTCAGAAAAATTGGGATTCAACCATATTCTGGGCAACTTAGGAGTGAGATATTCTTTCATATATGAAATTTTTTTTCTAAATTACTATGATCAAACATTAGTTTTGCGTCATGATATCTCTCAATCCTAATGCCCTTAGAAAATTTGTTTATAAAGATATAAAATATTAATATAATTTTTTATAATAAAATATTTATTATAGAAAAAGAAAAAGAAAAAGAATACTATGTAAAAAGCCCACAAAATTTCCAAGTGTTTATCTACTAATGTAAGAAAAATAATTAGTATTAATCCTGATTTTTTCCCCCCCTCCTCTTTCATGTTTAATCAAGAATTTCATTCAAAACCTGTGTGGAAAATAATTTAAAATTTAAAAGTTCATAATCGTATTTATTCTTTTTATTATCCTAATACAAAAATTATTTAATTAATTCCCTTCCTTTTTTTATTAGTTTCATTTATTATTATAGGAAAGATATCCTCAAAATAGGAAAACTTGGATAAATTGACCAGTCTATTTGCTTATAAAGGAAGTCAGTGCGTTCCTAGGATTCCCCACATCCATCATTTTTTCCTTCTACCCAAAACCAACCAATGGCAAATCCCTTACTCGTCTCCCTCTTCCCATCTCTTCTCCTACTTACAGTCACCGCCATTGTTGCCACCACCACCCACCATCTTCCTCCTCACTCTAATCTCATCGGATCTTCATGCAATGCAACTCTCTATCCTCACCTTTGCTTCTCAACTCTCCTCTCTGCTTCACCATCCAACCCCATTAACACCCCCAAAGATGTTATCGACCTCGCCTTGAATCTCACCATAACTTCTGTTCAACACAACTTTTTCGCCGTCAAGAAACTCCTTTTCATCCACTCTCCCACTCTCACCGACCGCGAAATCACAGCACTTCACGATTGTCTTGAAATGGTGGACGAAACTCTTTACGAGCTCCACAAGTCCCAGCAAGATCTCCACGACTATCTAACCATCAAAAAATCAATTTCCGAACACGCCGATGATCTGAAGACACTACTCAGTGCAGCCATGACCAACCAACAGACCTGCCTTGATGGCTTCTCTCATGACCGTGCGGATAAAAAGGTAAGAGAGGAGCTAATCCAGGGACAGATGCACGTGCATCACATGTGCAGCAATGTTTTGGCTATGATCAAGAACTTGACGGATACGGACATGGCGAAAGAGAGTAGTAATTTGAAGAAAAGTAAAATGGTTATGGAGGAGGAGAGGGAGAGAAAATCAGGGTGGCCCCAGTGGTTATCTGCAGGAGACAGGAAGCTTCTGCAGGCGCCTATGGTGACGGCAAATGTGACAGTAGCTGCTGACGGCAGTGGGGACTTCAAGACAGTGTCGGAGGCGGTGGCGGCAGCTCCGGCGAAGAGCAAAAACAGGTATATTATAAGGATCAAAGCAGGAGTTTACATAGAAAATGTAGATGTATCCAAGAAGAAGACTAATCTCATGTTCGTGGGAGATGGAAGGACTACTACAATTATCACTGGTAGTCGAAATGTTGTTGATGGTAGCACAACTTTTCGCTCTGCAACTGTTGGTAAGTGTGTTTATTGTTTTACTCAAATATTGAAGTAAATTTAGATCAATCTAAAACTTTAGTAAATTATGATTAAAATTCTATGATAGAGACATTAATGGTACTGAAAAACTGGGACATAAGACACAGCTGGTCTTATAAGAATGGGTAAAAATATAAATTTATAATCACTCTGGATCTAAATTATTTACCCATAACAGATACTGTTCATTTTTTAAATTATTAAAATTTTAGAAAGTATGTAAATAACTTAAATGAATGTACTTATGCATGTGTATTCATATATATATATATATATATATATCCATCAAGTATTTTTACTGTTGAAGAAATGAGAAGATAATATTAATTTTTCTGAAACATTGAATGGGTGGCATGCAGCTGTTGTCGGGGATGGGTTCCTGGCTCGGGACATAACATTTGAGAACACGGCGGGACCATCAAAGCACCAGGCCGTGGCATTGCGTGTCGGCTCAGATCTCTCCGCATTCTACAGATGCGACATGCTCGCCTACCAAGACACTCTTTACGTCCACTCACTCCGGCAATTTTACGTTCAGTGCATCGTCGCCGGCACCGTCGACTTCATTTTTGGCAACGCAGCTGCAATCTTCCAGGACTGCGACATCCACGCCCGCCGACCAAACCCCGGACAGAGAAACATGGTCACCGCACAAGGCCGAGACGACCCGAACCAGAACACCGGCATCGTAATTCAGAAATGTAGGATCGGTGCAACTTCAGATCTGAAAGCTGCAAAGACGGGCAGTTTCCCCACCTTCTTGGGACGGCCATGGAAGGAGTTTTCGAGAACTGTTATCATGCAATCTGAGATTAGTGATGTGATTGACCCGGCTGGATGGTTCGAATGGAATGGGAACTTTGCTCTTGATACGCTGTTCTATGCGGAGTATTTGAACAGTGGGCCTGGTGCAGGGACTGAAGGTAGAGTGAAATGGAAAGGGTTCAAGGTGATTAGTAATGCGAGCGAGGTAGAGGGTTTTACTGCTGAGAATTTTATTTCAGGTGGCACTTGGTTAGAGTCCACTGGTTTCCCTTTCTCTCTTGGTCTTTAATTTTAAATATCCATTGATTTTTCTAGCCTGTTTGTTGATCAACTACTAAATAATTACTGTTGCCAATAAATTTGTGAAGTCAATATGCCTTACTAGATTTATCAAAACAAATAAAGATTAAATAAATATATGACTTGTTGTATCTTGTCTGAATGAAAAACATAAAATTTCCTGAACCAATCTTTCATAAACAAGAAATAAAATCTGCAAAGGTTAATGCCTACTAGATTTCCAAAGCAATGAGTAACAAAAGGATACTCATGAAAAACGGCACCGTTTTACCTTAGAAGAGCAGCTTCGGCTTGGGTTCGGTTCTGGGCCGAAGGATCTCCCCACTTTTCAATGGCTCTGTTCGGCTCTATTTAAGAAGAAGAAAGTACTGGGTTTTGATAGAAACGGTTTGGGCTAACTTGGGTTAAATTTTGAATTAAGCTCAGAAAGGGGATGATTTTGGATTTAAAATGGGCCTTAGCATTAAATAGATTTTGTATTGGATTTGGAAAAAGGTGGGTTAAATTAGGAAACGAAAGATGGGCTCAATTGGCTTTCTTCCTTTTTATTTTTTCTTTTTTAACTATGTTTTTCTCCCTAGTATTACAAACTAGACATGATAGAAAATGGCCAGCATTTTGTCAAGTCCAAGGGCATTGTGTGCATAAATAGATTTTAGGGCATTGTAGACTTGCATCTTAATTGGCATGCTCAGACATATTCTGATTCTCCTCTTCTGAGATGGTTGTTAAGGTCTTTTGACAATTTTGGCTTATTGCTTGTGAATATGTTTGTAAAGGAACTTTTAAATATTTCAACTATATCTTACAGATCTTAACCCCTTCTTCTTCTTCATCTCTGATGAGTGTATAGTGCTCCTTCTTTTATTTGAATGGTTGTGACACAAAAGAACTTTATATTTAAGTCCCAATTCTCTACCTAATTATCTCTGTTTTTACAAGATTTATTCTCTCTTTTGTATTTCGATGATTTCAAATTATAGTTTAGCCTTTTGAATAGGGTTTTCCGTTGATGACTTACCTTATTTAATGCATACTGGTTCCTGATCCAATTTCCTAAGGTTATCTTAACAAAATATTTTCTCTTACACCCTATCAGAGCTTTCTTTATGTTTTTGATTTTTTTGAAGATATTTAAATATTATGGAATCTTTTATATCAATCTGCCATGTCTTTTGTAAACTTTTTTTTTATAATTTTTATGTATTAGCCAAGCCTCCTCAATCTTTTTTATGTATCAATCTTTCATGTCCCTTTCAGAGAATATGGGTGGTTGATGGCATAATTAACAACCAGCAAACATATCAATCCAACTTTTTGAAGCAAAAATTCTTTCTAGCCTAGCTTTTCGATTCAGAAGACCAACTCTTCTATGGTTCCCAGTACAACGGTTGCCAAAAATGCCTAAATCAATTAGTCCAAGTAATCAAGTAGTATGTTGTGCTGACCCATATTTTT